GTTAAGAGATCCCAGGGGATATGCAATAACAGTTTTAGCATTTCCATTGAAATCTCGAAATCTATTTTCTGCAGATTTACATAACTTTATCTACACTAAATAACATTATTCTGTATATACGTACGTATACCAGAAAGTAGCTAGTGGTGCTACAGAATGGCACAGACTTGCTCGGACTAATAATTTTTCTAATCTCTTTAGTGTGTGCCATCAGTTCACTTTTGCCCCGCCTTCTTCCAAGCTGCCACCTATTGCCTCCTAAAGGACATTTTTTCCTTCATATTTTCTCAATATTTCGTTTCTCTATTGGAAGAACTGAAATATGACTTTAAGAATATTATAAAAGGGTAAAATATGGCCAAATATGCGCATTTTGTTGAAAAATGTCGATCCGGATTTTATAAAATGTCGTTTAAGCGTTTCTAAAACTGCTGAATTTTTGAATCTCACTTTTACAAAAAACTTTGTAACGAGAAACATGATTATAATTCGTTGGAAGCACTTGAACTAAAAAATGTATAAATAACGTCCGTAATATAAATATTACGGACGTGAGAGATATTTAAAAAAATACATTTACGTAAATAAAAAACGATGCATCAAAGTGGGTTTTGTGTCATGTTATTCAGTGCTTTAAACACCAGAAGTTTGAAAACTAGTGGTGCTGCAACAGTACTTACTTTCTCGCAACATTATATTATCGTTATGTACTTTTATGTCTTAATGTCTGCCTTTCTTACGCTTCAAATATCACTTTATCCTGTAAATAAAGGAAGTGAGAAAATATATTTTTTTATTCAAAATTTAAATAAAAGTATATTTCTAGCATTGAATTTTGTGTATAAGGTATTCAATGTATTCACTAATATGTCCGATGCGTATTTTAGCTTTTAAATATTCTGCGGAAGCACTACGCGAGAAAGTAAAATAATGAAAAGTTAATAAATAATACGATTCGATTCACCGGTGGCGGAGGCAGCGGCAGCTGCTTTCGCTACAGCGCGTTGCCAGTTTATTTAAGATATACATTTTACGTCGCAGTAACACTGATATCTTTTGCAATCAATTGAAAATAGTTCGAAAAATATATCATAGTAATTGTTAAATACTATAGTATTGTAATATTCTCCAAAACTGCTTCTTTTTACACCAATTACACGTTACACCTTGCCAGAACATGTAATGCTAAATGCTCCATATGTTTTCACAGATAAAAAAAGTCGCTAAATTTTCATCGAAGAACAAACGTTTCGTTTCCATCTTTTGACGTTAAATATAAAATACAAATAAATAAAATAAATGTTCCCAATAGTTCCCTGTTAAAGTTCAACAAAGTAAAAAGAATCCAAAACAATTTCACATTTCATTATCTTATCTTCAAGAATGTACTACTCAAATACACATTGCTCCATTCTTTCCCAAGGTAGCGTACGATGGTAATATAAAATTAAAATGTTTACACCAATTTATGGTACTAAATTTTTCTTTC